CCCCATTTAAAAATAGGGTCAGCAAGAATTTTAATTTTTTTTATTCACTAAGGATGCATTAAATTGATTATTAGTGACAATAAAGGCGTTTATAATTTTACAAAATATTTCTATTTTATATAAATGCAGTTCAAATCAATTTTAACTTTCTATTGATCAAAGAATCATGAAAAATTTTATTAATAATAATAATAATAATAATAAATGTTTCCTGAGCACCAAATTTAGCATAACAATGATTTCTGAAGGATCATATGACACTGAAGAAGTAATAATGCTGAAAATTCAGCTTTGGCATCACATTTTAAAATATACTAAAATGTAAAAGTGTTATTTAAAATAGTAATATTTCACAATACTACTGTTTTTACTGTATTTTTGATCAAATAAATGCAGCCTTGGGGAGCATAAGAGACTTTCTAAAACAAGAAAAATCTCTTACAAACCTCAAACTGCAACTCGTGATATTATGAAAAGGTGCAAGAACTCCAGGCACTGCATCTTTAAATTATTCCTGTGATAAGATAGATATCTACTGCGAATACAAACTGACACCATCCAAAGTTTCTAACGTCCCCTGAAAGAGTTTTCAACTGATGGATATTTTCTCTTCAAGTAATCAGAGAAGAATCGCTGAAGGTGAAATCCAGCCCTTTCCCAGCAACACTTTCAATTTCACTAATCGCTGCTAATGTTACCCTGAAGCAAAGGAAATCCGTGAGCTCCCATCACAAGTCCCCTACAACAAGACTCATTCAGAATAAGCTGTTTACAAAGCCCTTCCAATATTGTTTTTCATGAATCTTCTTTTGGCTGCAAAGAGCAAATTCGTAATGTGGCTCTGGTTTGCCCTATCAGCACTTTAACATGCAAAGACTGTAATGCACCACAAGAATAATTAAGCACATGCTCACATGTAAAGCAATGTACTACACTGTTATATTCAAAACAAGACATTAATATCCTAATCTGAAAATGTATTTAAAGTGAGTAACTTCAAACGATATGGAACATGCCACCACCCCATTCAAGGATTCAAAAGACAAACCACATTTGTTTTAAGTAACTGAGAGCTTCAGCATCTCCATGAGGTTTTGTTTGTATGTAATATGAAAGAGTTGTATGTTGCAGAGAGAGCCGTGAATAATGAAAGATTTCTCTGCAGGCAGCCACCAATGCTGCAGCCGCAAACACTGTAACAGAAACTGAGAAGACGCTGTAGTCTATCTAAAACCTAAGAAGAGGAAATGAGAATTTGTGAATGAATACTGGCGGATGTGGATGTCTGAGGACTCTGAGGACCTTTGCTAATCTGCTGTAGTCATTATTCAGGAGTGCTCTTACTCTTTCTCTCCACAGAGCTGGAGCGCACTTAATGTGAGGTCAATTTAGTAATGTCTTTAGCTCTTGTTTTATATAGTCTACTTAAAGACTTTCTTAAAAATTATTCTTCCATTAATAAGGCTCGCAGGATGTTCAAAAAATTCAGAATTAAACTCTAAAAGTTATTTATAAAGTTAAACTTATGCTGATGAAATATGAATGTTTCTTTTTGAAAAAATACAATACAACACTTCTACATCAAGAGAAATGTGTCATATAAAGTGAAAAATAAAAGCAAACAGCAGCAGATGTGTGATATGCACCAGTGTTTAAACGGCACATTTGTTTATTTTTAACTCAATTTGAGTGAAGGGCTAATCTAAAACAGCTCTTTTCAGGGTGCCTGAAGATTCCGGAAGCATTGCTGCCAAGCTTTGTTTGTAACCAGTAATTTTTTCTCAATGTGCACCTAGAGAGATTTCATCTGTTGCACCATTTCCTGAAGTTTTAGATCTAAATTACATAGATGATGCATCAATATACAGCCAAATAATAAGATCAATAAGGCCAACTGACACTATTGATTTGACAAAAAGCTGTAACCACATAGCTATAACTGAAACAGACTGTTTAGGCACAAAATAAAGCAATAAGCGCCATCGGCTTCACAGGGCTTATTGCTTTTATAAAACGGTTACTCCATATACGTAGTAAGGTTTCACAAAATAAAACAGAGCAAATAAAGTGTAATGACATTAATAAAAACATTATTCTTCCGCCAAACAATGTAGTTCCTCAGAAACGGTTGTGGTTCCAACAAAGTGGTTGCCGAGCAACACACAAATGTAAACAAAGGTGTATGTTTGTAGAGAAATTTACGACAGCTTCGAACTTGACTCAGCCAATCAGAATCAAGGACCGGAACTATCCGTTTTATAGCCATCAATAAAAAACTGGTTATCTTAGTGAGAAAATTAGCAATATGGTGCAGTGGGCGACTTGATGAAACTGAAATAATCGGTCAGTTAGGCTCACTAAAGGTCAAATAGGTTGAAGTTATGTACAAACACATATTCATATGATTTTCTCAGCTATTTAACATGCTCTCTGAATGCAAATATTATATCATATTAATTATATTTCTTCACAACAACTCATTTATCACAAACTAGCTACTATTCAACAGCGAGCAAGGCATTTTCATCATTACATTGATATACACACATAAAGAGCATTATGTTCATTGGTCAATAACATGATACTCATGTGTTTGATCCAGATCTAAACTATTTAAAAATACATATAAAATGCTATTCATACAAAAAATGGCTTAAAAACATCTCTTCTATGATGGATTTTAATTTCTGCATTTTGATATTTCTATGAGGTTTAAACTCATGTCAAGGCGGTGTAACTGGGGAATCTGGGAGAAAAAAAATATTAAAAGTTTAACAGTTTTTAAACAAACTTGAAAATGTTAGCTTTATCATGCATTATTATTAATTTTTTTTAAAAACTGTTTTTTTTTTTTTTACTAAAAACATTATTAACATTTTACAAACTTGTGGCATCACTGTGCATCAAGGTCTTATAAAAAATGTCACACATTTTGACCTTTTTATGAAAAGGCATGTTTTGTTCAAAACTGAGTATCCCCAAGATTATTGGTATTCACAAATTCAAAAAGTATGATACCAGTAGTAAAATACAGTAAAAAATATTCTTTACCTTGTAAATATGTTAGAAAGTAATGAACACTCACTCACATGTATTAAAGGTGCAATGAAAGTATCTTAGTAAACCACTTGGCAATTTAATCATTAAAACAAACTGTTTGTAGAAATGTTTTTTTTAAATCAACGAATGCAAAGCTTACATTTCTAAGAAAATGGTCAAATGTTCTTTAAAAAGCATTCTTAATATCATGATGAAACAGAAGTAGCGACAGATATGTATTGTAGGGAAAGAACTTGGTTCTATCCTTTAGATGTTTACCGGATTTTGAGATGTGGGTGCTGAACTCAAAAGTGGAGACAGATGAACATTACCCTGCAGGAGTGGGGTTTAACTGGACTAAAAGTTTGGAGATGTCCTGCAGACCTCCCCAGAGAAAGTCTGACGTTTCAAAGGAAAATCCAGTTACCACATTCTGATTAAACATTACGAAGAAAAAAAAATTTAAAACATAGATGGATGAATTGTTTTCAATAAGATCAATAACATGCATTGATAAAATAGACAGGGTGAATTTTAAAACAGATTTTACAAAGACCTTTGTCCTTATTACATTCCAGACATCCTTATTTATCATTGACCCTAATGTTAAAGGGGTCAGTCATATGATGCGATTTAAATTTTTCTTTTCTCTTTGGAGTGTTACAAGCTCTTGGTGCATAACGAAGCTCTGTAAAGTTGCAAAGACTAAAGTCTCAAATCCAAAGAGATATTCTTTATAAAAGTTAAGAGTCAACCACGCCTACCTAAAACGGCTCGTTCTAACACGCCCCCACAGATCTACCTCACTATGTGGGAAGATTTGCATAACGCCGCCCAAATGTTCACGCAAAGAAAGAAGGCGTAACTTTTATTCTCGCTGTAGTATTGTTGCTGCCGCCGCCATGTCGTGAAGACGCTGTGTGTTTTGTTGTGAAAGCGAAACTACTTTGTTTGGTCTTCCAAAAGAGGACTCGACTAGAAATCAGTGGTTAAGTTGTATTTACAACACTGTTCCAGAACACTTCAACCCAAATATTCAGATGTGTGCAGCACATTTTATGGAGGACTGTTTCCTGATCCTGGTAGAGTAGACTACAATGCCGGCTGTTCTGACTCACAGTCTGTAAGTACGTTTTTTATATTTAAAGAATTTGCCACTGAGTTTTTGCCACGCGAGTTTTGAGCAGTGTAGAGTAGCGTTTGTTGTTTGTCATTTCTCCGATCACAAATGCAGACATGGTTTTATGTTTACGTGGCGCGATGCAACGCAACACGTAAAAAAAACAGTATAAGTCATTATAATCCGTAATTATGTCCCCACTGGATGCAACAAATGCCTCGTTTATAATGGGTTTTAATGTTTTTGTCTCGTCGCTCCAGCCGGACAGGGCATCACAGTATGGTAGGGGCGTAACATTTCCGTCACACGCTTGAGGTATTCGGCCAATCACAACGCATTGGATAGCTGGCCAATCACAGCACACCTCGCTTTTCAGACCGATGAGCTTTGTAAAAATCGACACGTATCAGAAAGGCTGGGCATAGAGAAGAAACAATAATGTACAGTATGTGGAAACAAATGTGCTTTTTTTACCTTAAACCGCATAAACACATTTCATTACACCAAATAAACAAAATAATGTTCTTTTTAGCAACATCATATGACCCCTTTAAGCAGCTTCACAGTCCCACATGCAGATGGTCCTACATGCAAGAGTCTGAGGGAGGTGTCAATGTAATGTAAACAAGAGGGCGTGACACCTACAAACATTAACATTAAAGCCAATGCGGGAAATTGGATTTCCACTTTGTGGAAGTTCGTGTAACACCGGCGACCTGCTGGCCAGCTGCCATCGTCTTGATCTGTCAGGAGCGAATCTGTTACCTTAAATGCAATGAATAAACTGGCTAATGAGAATGACAGTACGTCTTCCTGCGCCAATCGTGATTTACAGTTATTTCAACAGAGATTATGTTTTGTCGAAGCTTTTGAATGACTAAAATGAATTTGCAAATGGAAGGTGGAGCTGTCTCGGGAGCTAAAAGTGGGAATTATGGAAAAAAAAATAAAAACACGCTAGGCCATAAGCAGAGCTCATTCCCCTGCTTCACAGCCTCCACGCCGCAGCATCAACTGTTTATATGCGCTGAATGATCGCAGGCTGAAATGAACCGAACCTGCGTCACAGCCAGCCACGCGCTCCGTCAAATGGGACATTTAACATTGCCATTACAGTCGTGTAGCGGTTATTTACCTGGCGCTGGCGTCGGTTGGGAGACCAATGGGCTTCCCTCGCCTCCCTGAGTATGTGCGCGTCTTCCTTACAGGCTCGAATGGAGCAAGGATGGACGGGATAATCAGAGAAGCACGCCTACAGAGAGAGCACAGACTCAAGTGGTCACTACTAGAGTGTTGTCTCGAAAGGAGGGGTCGTATGATGGAAAGGCTGCGGTAGTTCCTTACCACGGGAGCCGCCGCTCAGACACACCACAGCAGCGACGTCACAGGCAGGTTACCCTCTCTCACCCAGCGTCTCCTGCTCCAGTCCGCGCCGGGCTCGGTTGCTCCGTCTCCCGCCTGCCTCACTGCTCCATAGACGCTCCTGCGTGTGCTGTGCGGCGCGAGGAAATCTCGCGAGAGCCGCTGTGTTTACAAGAGATGCGCCTCTTCTGTGGCGCTCTGCGTGGAGGGGAATTCTCTTGGAATTAACAGGATTCCCACGGTCAGGGGAAACCTAGAAATAACAGGAATATGTCTTGAAAAGGTCGTGGAAATTAAAATAATCAATCAGATAATGAAACAATAGACTTTTTTGTGTAGACCTATACATTTCTAGTTATGCTCTAAATTGTAAAGTATGTAATGCGGTAAATACTGAGCTTTAGTAAAGGTAGTGTAGAGATAGAGATTTAACATTGCCATTACAGTCGTGTAGCGGTTTTTTACCTGGCTACACGGTATCGGATTATCCTGGTTGCATAAATTATAAATTATGAAATATATATTATGTTATATATATATATATATATATATATATATATATATA